ATGAACAGCTCCAAAGGGGCGCCCATGGGCAGCCACCTCGGCGAGAACCTGTGTCGCTTTAAGAACGTGAGCGGGGAACTGGTCCTTGTGTCGTGCACGGGGGGCGTGGTGGCCCAGCCGCAGCACCACCACCACCAGCACCAACACCAGCAGCACCAGCACCTCCAGCCGCCCCTCCAGAACGACACGTACGACGAGTATGACTCTTACTACGACTACGAGCACAGCAACCTCACGGACGAGCAGTGGAGCATCGTCCGGCAGCTCAACCTGTACTACGTCCCTCTCCTCATCGTGGTCGGGTTCGTGGGCAACCTCCTCTCCTGCGTGGTCTTCCTCAACACGAGGCTGAGGATGAGGTCGTCCTCGTACTACCTCGCAGCCCTCGCCATCGCCGACGTCACCTACCTCTTCATCCTGTTCCTCGTGTGGCTCGACCTCCTCGGCTTCAATACGTTTAATATCAACGTTATGTGTCAGGTGAGGCGCTTGACTTTCTTCGCGAGGCAGAGACCTTGGGGTTTCCTCTCGGGAATGGGTAGAGAATTGGCTCTCGATTTTCTCTCTCTCTTATATCGCCTGATCCCGTGCATTATTTATATCACTTAAATATTCCTTGCATTATCTATATCATATTATACGCCCTGATCTATTGCCTTACTCACATCACTTAAATATTCCTTGCATTATTTATATCATATTATACTCCTTGCTCCCTTGCATTACTCATATCACTTAAATATTCATTGCAATATTTCTATCATATTATACTCCCTGATCCCTTGCCTTACTGATATCACTTAAATATTCCTTGCATTATTGAAATCACATTATATCGCCCTTATCCCTTGCATTATTTATATCACTTAAATATTCTTGCAATATTATATTATTGATACCATATTCCTTGCGCCATTCATATCACAATGCATCATTAACCACAATTTTTTCTTCTCAATACCACGATTTTCTCTCTCGTATGTCGCTTACACTCCTTTCATTACTGATATCACTTCTACCCTTTGCGTTATTTGTCACTGTACATATTTCATCACATTTCTTCTTATTCTTGTTTGTAATTCCAATATTTCTCACATTTTTTATTGCCATTATCGTCCTATTATTACTCTTATCACAAATATTCATATTCTGATATGACATTATTTATGTCACTGTGCATATTTTTATCACATTTCTTCTTATTCTTGTTTGTAATTCGATTATATCTCACATTTTTTATTGCCATTATCGTCCTATTATTACTCTTATCACAAATATTCATATTCTTGATGTCGCATATTCATGCAGTTTTACAACCATCACCTTGGTCAAAGTGAAAATATTTGTTATCGATAGCTTATCATTTATTAATCCATATAATTATTTATTGATGTATCTATCTGTGTAATTATTCATTTATATATTCATTCATTTATCTATCTATCAGTTTATGATTTTTTCTATCTATTTATTTATTCGTTTTCCTATTTACTTATTTATTCATTTATATATATATATATTATATATATATATTATATATATATATATATATATATATATATATATCTATTTTATCTATTCAGCTTTCTATCTGTTTATTCATTCATTTATATATCTATCTATTTATTTATTTTTCTATCTATTTATCTATTCACGTATCTATCTATATTCATTTATATATCTATGAATTTATTCATTTTCCTATCTACTTATTCACTCATTTATCTATCTATTTATTCATTTTATATTTTTTCATTTTTCTATCTATTTATTTATTTTTCTATCTATTTATTTATTCATTTATCTATCTATTTATTCATTTACCTATCTGTTCATTAATAAATTTATCTATCTATTCATTTACCTATCTATTTATTTATCTATCTATCTATACATTCATCTATTAATTAATCTGTTCAATTTGTATGTCTTTATATGACTTCCTGATTCATTGGTTAGCTAACTGGTGTGTGTACATGTGTGTGTGTGTGTGTGTGTACGTGTGTGTGTGGTGTGTATGTGTGTGTGTGTGTGTGTGTGTGTGTGTGTGTGTGTGTGTGTGTGTGTGTGTGTGTGTGTGTGTGTGTGTGTGTGTGTGTGTGTGTGTGTGTGTGTGTGTGTGTGTGTGTGTGTGTGTGTGTGTGTGTAATAATAATAATAATAATAATAATAATAATAATAATTTGGGTTTGCATGAAAATATGTATATACAGGCTGATGGTGGAGAAAGACTAATTAAATGTAGACAATACTCTATCAAGGTCATAATTGATTATGAAATAAAGAGCTTATTCACTTTATCGAGGTCAGAGTCGATGATTGTGTGTACCCATTAAAAAAAAAATATATATATATATATTTCTGCGGTCGTAGATTGGCTTTGATGCTGTTTTTTTCTCTCTCTTTCTTTTTTTTTTTCCTTTTTTAATTGGCGTGTTTGCTTGGTGTCATTAGTATTGTCGGCACTGTAGATAGCATTGCTATTTATGGAATTCTGTTT